TTATGCTGGTTATCAGAAAAATATAAAAAAAAATCTATGTGGCATATTGTCAAAATATTAAAAATATTAAATATTGGCATTTAAAAAAAAACAACAAAATCTACTCCCGGTGACGGTCTTTTTACTCGTGTTGCCACAAATCTTCACTTTTACCAAATTTTTTTTTGTTTTGTAACCCTGAATAATGATTCTCTAAATTGTTATCAAAATTACAAAACCAGCTGCTCCAGCTTGGATTAAAAAAATACATTATTCCCAAAAAATTGTTCAAAATAAAAATTTTGCCTAGTTTAAACTGACTGTACTGAAAAAAAATTGTACTACGCGAGTGTGGCAAATAACGTCATAATTTGGCGCATTTAGTAAGGATTCCAAAATGGTATAACACTTGGTAAATTCTTGCTGTGATTGTCGACAATTTTTGGTTTTTTTGAAAATAATCCCGTTTTTAACATTATCTACCTTGGTTAAAAATTATTGTTCTAATGTGCCCAAAATTCAAGTTTCTGTGACTGACTACCGTACAGTCAGTCACAGAAACTTTTGTCATCATGACAGTAATTAGTAGTTGACATACTGTGACAAAAGTCACCCGTGCGCGCGCGCCTTTACTACCTGCTCTGCCTGCACTTGTACTTGGTAACAGGGATCATAAGGATATGAAGTTTCGGTTATGGATACGGTTACGGATATTAGAATAATATTATACCAGTTTCGGTTACGGTCACGGATATGAAATCATTTCAGATTATCCGAAAGTTTCGGATAATTTCGGTTACGGAATTATTCGAATTTCAAAAATGTAGGTATAATTCAAATAGCAAGATGCTGCGTGACCCATGTGAGTCAGCTACTTTATGTACCAACTAAGACGACACCTATGTATGATAAAGGTAAAACAGGCTGGCATATTAGATGGTGCCAGGGAATGCCAGACAAGTTGGTAATAAATATTAAGATTTAAGGTACAATTCCAAGACGTGCCGCAACCGCAAACTGCAAAACTCTATGAAATCGGCAGCGCGGCATTGCAGCTGCGGCGTGTATACTGCAGATTTCATAGAGTTTTGCAGTTTGGAATTGTACCCTTGAGACTCCGCCTTTATCCGAAACTATCCGTAACTTTTGAATCAGTTTCGGTTACGGTAATGGATATTTTTTTATTTCGGATATCCGATAGTTTCGGTTACGGTTACGGATATCCATAACATCCCTGCTTGGTAAAATGGCCCTCTCCGTCCCGCTCATACCTTTTAAAATGGCTTTTTCACCTCACTTAAGCCAGAAACTTGAATTTTGGGCACATTAGAATAATAATTTTTAACCAAGGCACATAAAGTTAAAAACGGGATTATTTCCAAAAAACCAAAAATTGACGAGAATTACAGCAAGAATTTAAAAGTGTTATACCATTTTGGAATCCTTACTAAATGCGCCAAATTATGACGTCACTTGCCACACTCGCGTAGTACAATTTTTTTTCAGTACAGTCAGTTTAAACTAGGCAAAATTTTTATTTTGAAACATTTTTTGGGAATAATGTATTTTTTTCATCCAAGCTGGAGCAGCTGGTTTTGTAATTTTGATAACAATTTACAGAAGCATTATTCAGGGTTACATAACAAAAAAAAAATTGGAAATAGTGAAGATTTGTGGCAACACGAGTAAAAAGACCGTCACCGGGAGTAGATTTTTTTGTTTTTTTTTAAATGCCTAATTTGACAAAATGCCACATAGATTTTTTTTTATATTTTTCTGATAACCAGCATAACTTGCCTCAACACCCAGTTCCGGCTTGACGTTACATTACGGGACACCCTGTATATGGGTCTGATTTTGGAGTTCGGTAAATACAAACGATTATACATTTCAATTGGGGAATCTCAATACCACAACACTCAAAGGCATAATCAGTAGCAAAATCCCTCGGTATTGATATATTCCTATAGCTAAGATCCGACATGCATAGTNTACGAACCATGTTTTTAATTTCCTTTGTATATTTTGTTTTGGTAAGTTTAGGGTTTGACAAGTGTCATGATCAGATAGTCCCAAACTATGTGTTTTTCCAACAGCTGTGGGAATATTGCTGATTATTTGGTCTAAACAGGCGTTTTTTCGCGTTGGCTCTTTAATATGTATTGTCATTCCGTAATTTTGGCATATTTTTATATATTCATCCTTTATGCTACTTTCCTTTAAAATATTTATATTAAAATCTCCAGTTATAACAATTTTTTTATTATTTTTATATCTCAGTTTCGATAACATAGTTTCAAGACGATTTAGAAATATATATGGGTCTGATTTTGGAGTTCGGTAAATACAAACAATTATACATTTCAATTGGGGAATCTCAATACCACAACACTCAAAGGCATAATCAGTAGCAAGATCCCTCGGTATTGATATATTCCTATAGCTAAGATCCGACCTGCATAGTATACAAACACCTCCACGTCTTTGCGTGCGTCTGGAGTAGAAATCGGCCAAACAGAAGTCATTTATGTGTAGATTTCTCTCCTCGTCAGATTTGAGAAAGGTTTCACTCAGACAGATAATATCTGTCTCTTGTCCGTTGACCATTAGTTCTTCTAAAGCTACATGAATAATATCTACCTTACTGAGTACCCCCGCAATGTTCTGGTGAATTATAGTTAGAGAGTCATTCAGGCTGTGAACGAAAAAACGAACTCTGAGTTCTTAGATCTTCCACGATTTTATTCTTATTACTTTTATTGCTCACTCTCCCAAAAAAATCAAGCAAGGACGTTTGTACAATTTTTTTAGGGTTTCTTTTCCTATTGCTACCCAAGATACTGTCCCTGAATGCATTAACGTTACGTTGTCCAATCATTCGATTTGTCAGTTTACATTTATTAAAAGTCAAGAATTTTTCATTATAGTCACGAGAGTCAATAATACAATTAAGCTTTTTAGCAGTTTCGTTAAAAGAGTNATACCACACCACACCACATCACACCACACCATACACACACACACTGGGTTGCTAAATTTAATTTAACTTCACCATAATAAGAAATAAAATAAAAAATCGAGTAATTATGTACTTTGAGATGTGTAATATATATATAAACAACTGTCTGTATTCACCTATTGGGAAGACACTGGCTCCTGAAATACAGTTTACACTAGTTTAGGAGCCAGGGTTTCAATACAAAATGTTACAGTGTATTACATCAATAAAAATATTCTTATTCTTATTCTTATTCTTATTTTGATATTTTTCTAGTGCAACGGTTAACTTAATAGATATTTTAGTAGGATTACAGTCGTTTTCACCAACACATAGGATTACATCCTTTGGGTTCAAGTTTAATGTATCAAGTCCCTTCAAAACCTCTTCAGTAGGTGCGTATGTTTTTATGGTTGAAAATATACTATATTTTTCATATGGGCCGTTTTTCCTCAAATCGGTCATTCTTGCCGCCAGACCAGTGCACTGTTGAGTACCAAATATGTGTATTTTGCGAGGTGTAGGTATCTGATTGACTGGGGGCATGACGTTGCAGAGTTCTTTTTTGTTGTTGTGACTAGTCGAAATATTTTTTTCTTGATCAGATTTTTTATCGAGTATTTGTGTTTCTTTTTCAGCGTAGGTTGGCTGAATATTTGCCGGCCTTTGGTTGACGAGATAATCAATTGATCCATGTTCTGGGTGTTTTAGCTCGAGAGAATTTAGTGGCGTTCTTCCAGTATTTTCTAGTATAGTTCGATTAATACTTGTCCGATCTTTACTTGATGGACGTTTTTTATCCGTAGTTTTACAAATTTCAGTTAGTGTATGTATTTTCAGCTTGTATTCTTCTAATTGGTTTTTTAATGTTCCATTTTCAGACATTAGTTGCTCAATTTCATTCTCAGCTATTTGAAGTTTTATTTCCAAATCTTGATTTTTTTTCTTTTAGTGTTTCTAAGTCATTTATATCTAGTCCCAGATCAAGGCAACTTCGACTTAGATGACTGCAGCTATTTAATGTTGATTCATTAAAGAAATCTTCTTCATCGCTTAACGACTGAAAAGAGTTTTCAGTTGAGATATGGTATGAAAGTTTGGGGTTTTGTGATGCATTCTTATTTTCTGTCGATTTTTCTGCTTGCTTTTGTGTTCGTCCTTGTGCCAGTTTTGGAGTACTTCGCTTTGAGATCAAGATGGCTTTCGATGTCTTTTCTGTACATATTTGATATTTCCAGTTTGTTCTTCTTTGCGGCGACATTAGATAGAATACATTTTCATTAACATTTGCACATTTAATGTGATATGTGTTCTTACAGTTGGAGCAAGTTAAATTGCGTCTGTGAGTACTCATTAGTGTCTTCAAGTTCGCTCGAGGATTCTATCATTATCGGTTTAGCCAAACGCATGTCTTCTTGGTCTAAACTTCTGCGATGCATAATTTATGTTTGTAGATTCGCTAAGATGTTGCCACGACGTGGTCACATATCCGCCTTTGATTTAGAGTACGCTGAATTGTTGATTTTTAGAGAAGTACAACGCTTTCATTTTGCTAAAGAGTTTGCCGACTTGCAGGTGGGCAAGACTTGCAGTCGTTCGCTTCAACGCCTTTGCCCGTTCTTGAGTGACGGTTTGATTAGAGTAGGTGGACGACTGAGTAATTCACAGTTGGAATCTCATCAGAAACACCCTATTATTCTACCGCGTAGGGATCACATTGTTGAGTTGTTGGTTGACTATTACCACAAGGTTAATTGTCACGCTGGTCCCGATTTATTGATGTCGCTTCTGCGCCAGAAATATTGGATATTGTCTGCGCGTAGCCTTATTCGCAACAGATTTCATAAATGCCTGCCTTGTTTTCGCTTGCGCCCCAAGCCAACATTTCCAATGATGGCTGATCATCGCTCTTGTCGTGTTGTTGAAACCGCTAAGCCCTTTGTACACACAGGTACAGATTACGCTGGACCGTTCAAGGTCACTGTATCTCGTGGTCGTGGAATCCGCTCTACAAANATGGGATCCGCTCTACAAAGGCGTATGTTTGTTTGTTTGTCTGCATGACAACACGCGCAGTTCATATTGAACTCGTTGGTGATTTGAGCACAGGTGGTTTCTTGGGTGCTTTCAAACGCTTTTTGTCTCGCCGGGGTCCCGTAAGTCACATTTCAAAGACAAAGACAAAGACATTTATTTGCAAAGAATAGGTTGATACAGATAGTGTTGTAAATACAGAGTGCTCTATTCTGCTAAAATACATTAACATGCAAATTTTTTGTCCAGAAATTCCTGAACACTGTAAAAGCAGGAAGTGGTTAGCCATTCCCTAAGCTTTCTGGTCATTACTTTTGCAGGACCTATTTTAAATCTTTCAGGAATTTTGTTATAAACCTTAATGCACATAGAATAACAATTTTTATGACAAAGTGCGATTTTTGGGCAGAAGTCAAATACTAGTCTATTTGCTGACCTTGTGTTTCTCGGGTTTACCTCAGCAGCATTTTTAAACAATTTTGGATGTTGTGTTACAAATTTGTAAAAGTCAAGTATGTACATCCCGGGAACAGTGAGTTTGCCTAGTTTCACAAATAATTGTTTACATGTTTCAAAGGGCCCTTTACAACATAGAGCTCGTATGCATTTTTTGAGCTATGAAAACCCTTTGTATATCGGTACCATTTCCCCAAAGTATGAGCCCATAGCTTATAACAGAAGCAACATATCCGTAGTAGGCACTTAACGATACACTCAGAGAAGTAATTCTTGTCAATCTTCGAAGGACGTAAACAAATCTATTATTTTTTTTACACACATTGTCAATATGGCATGAAAAGTTCAAGTTTTTGTCCAATAAGATACCTAAAAATGTCAAATTATTTACGTGGTCCAAGGTTATTTCATTATTATAATTTATGTCCATTTTAATTTCTTTACGTCCTTTTACATTGAATTGTATATATTTCGTTTTAGCTAAATTAGCAGTCAGATTATTAAGGTTTNATTCGGACAATGGCACAAATTATATTGGAGCTAAACGGATGCTTTCCGAGTTGCATACGTTTTTGAGCTCAAAATATTTTCGTACAGAGTTCGCTCACATTTTAGCTGAAAACCGCATTAATTGGATTTTGAATACGCCCGCAGCAAGCCATTTCGGCGGCAATTGGGAAACCAATGTAAAGAGCCTTAAGTCTCACTTATACCGCGTTATTGGTGAGCAAATTCTTAGTTTTGAAGAGTTGAGTACAGTGCTTGCGCAAGTAGAGGCTGTAATGAACAGTAGACCGCTGTGTAGGACGCTCTCTAGCGACCCATCTGAGCCTTTAGCTTTGACTCCCGCGCATTTTCTTACTTTGACGCCGCTTAAGTATTTGCCCGCTAGAAATATTGATGAAGATAGATTACATCTACTTTCGCGACACTCTTTGTTAGATAGATTGGTTCAATCGTTTTGGAAACGATGGAAGTCTGAGTACTTGCATACTTTGCAGTCGCGACAGAAGTGGAACACGTCTGCTAACCCTATCACTGTCGGGACTGTTGTAGTTCTCTCCACAGAGAACGTACCACCGCTTCATTGGCCCTTGGGCATAGTTGAGGAAGTTTTTCCGGGTTCTAATGGGGTCACTCGCATTGTCCGCGTCAGGACTACAACCGGATCATATCTACGCCCGGTTATACGTCTCTGTCCCTTACCTAATCAGTAAGACTTCTCTCGCAAGCAAGTTAGGTTAGGAATTTAGTTTAGTTTAGATTAGTTACATGCCTCATTGGAATTTTGTTTGAAGGTGATCCTTCAAGAGGGGGGGGAATGGTTGCGCNGTTACAGTCGTTTTCACCAACACATAGGATTACTATATCCTTTGGGTTCAAGTTTAATGTATCAAGTCCCTTCAAAACCTCTTCAGTAGGTGCGTATGTTTTTATGGTTGAAAATATACTATATTTTTCATATGGGCCGTTTTTCCTCAAATCGGTCATTCTTGCCGCCAGACCAGTGCACTGTTGAGTACCAAATATGTGTATTTTGCGAGGTGTAGGTATCTGATTGACTGGGGGCATGACGTTGCAGAGTTCTTTTTTGTTGTTGTGACTAGTCGAAATATTGTTTTCTTGATCAGATTTTTTATCGAGTATTTGTGTTTCTTTTTCAGCGTAGGTTGGCTAAATATTTGCCGGCCTTTGGTTGACGAGATAATCAATTGATCCATGTTCTGGGTGTTTTAGCTCGAGAGAATTAAATGGCGTTCTTCCAGTATTTTCTAGTATAGTTCGATTAATACTTGTCCGATCTTTACTTGATGAACGTTTTTTATCCGTAGTTTTACAAATTTCAGTTAGTGTATGTATTTTCAGCTTGTATTCTTCTAATTGGTTTTTTAATGTTCCATTTTCAGACATTAGTTGCTCAATTTCATTCTCAGCTATTTGAAGTTTTATTTCCAAATCTTGATTTTTTTCTTTTAGTGTTTCTAAGTCATTTATATCTAGTCCCAGATCAGGGCAACTTCGACTTAGATGACTGCAGCTATTTAATGTTGATTCATTAAAGAAATTTTCTTCATCGCTTAAGGACTGAAAAGAGTTTTCAGTTGAGATATTGTATGAAAGTTTGGGGTTTTGTGATGCATTCTTATTTTCTGTCGATTTTTCTGCTTGCTTTTGTGTTCGTCCTTGTGCCAGTTTTGGAGTACTTCGCTTTGAGATCAAGATGGCTTTCGATGTCTTTTCTGTACATATTTGACATTTCCAGTTTGTTCTTCTTTGCGGCGACATTAGATAGAATACATTTTCATTAACATTTGCACATTTAATGTGATATGTGTTCTTACAGTTGGAGCAAGTTAAATTGCGTCTGTGAGTAATTACTTTTTTACATTCTTTGCATTTCTGAGTCATTTTGTTTTTGTCAATATAATAAAATAAAAATAATAACAAAGAAAATATATACCAAAACAGAATCCCAAACAAAAAACAAAAATATTTTTTTTTTGTCTCAGCCGAGGTTCGAACGCTCAATCCTTGGAATCCGTTCTTGGTGAACGCGTTTTGTACAACTCGGCTATCAGTTCTTACAGTCAGGGTGTCGAAATATTGGGTCAGGTTGCTGCGTAATAGTGCTCTAGTTCTTGCGCGTAGTAATGTAAATTTGTTGTTTTTGTCTTCCACCGTCACAAAACGTACAAGTTAAAAGTCTCACTTGAGTTTTTGTAAAACGTTTTTAGAGATTACGTTCACAATATCACACGTATAGTCGTTGTTTTTCACAGTTCGGCTTGGTTTTAAGTAGGTACTGCACACACTAATGTAACTTTTATTGACATTGTTTCACTTTATCCTATATTACTGGATTAATTTACACGGAGCGTTTGAAAACACGTCTGCGCGGTTGTGGAGTACCCAGAGTAAGAGAAGATGTCGTAAGGAGCGATCCAACTGTATCTACCCCCATTACAGCTTACAACTAAGTACACGAACAAGAAAATTTACTTATCCGCCTTCCTAAGGGCCCGGTAATACCTCGACGTACGTTGGTTGAAATCCATCAATCAACCGAATTCCGTATAGAGGTCAATCCGGAGTTGCTTAAAGTCTGATTTTATAAACCGTGATTGATGGTGCTGAACAAAATACATCTTGTTAAATTATGACCTGATTGTGTAAAACTTCGCGTATGCTAATTAATGTGTGTAGAACACTTTGTATCGTTAAATATTAGATGGGGAGGTAGATATTTATGACGTACCTAGATGATTTATTTGATAGCTTTTGGTACAAATTGAAGCAATACATTTTAATTTAGATATTTAAAGTTTACAATGTTAAACTTCAGGGGACTAGTGTTTAAAGTTGAACATTAAATTGAGTTGACATTTAGGCTGAGTTGCACCACCCAACTTTAACCGTAACTATAACGAAAACCGGTGCTTTTTGTATGGAGTTTGACAGATTTTTGATGTTTTTCAAAGTTAAAGTAAGATGGTGCAACCTAGCCTTAGCCTTAACATTTCTATAAATGTCATTTTAAACCAGGGATCATCGCCTTCAATTTTTTTTTGTAAAAAGAGGGTTTTTTTTTAATCTCCGGCTGAAATAGCCGGAGTTCGGTTTCAAAGACATACAATTTCTTGAATATTCAATAATGTTTTTTTATAGCAAGTGCTGGTAGTTTCTCGCTAATGTCTACGAGCAAACTTGTAGTCTCCATATTTATAGGCGTTTAATTTAAGCATTTTTAATATGTTGCAAAATGTAAACCATCGATCACCATCACCGGAACACTTGCTGTAACTAAAGCTTGGCGCGCCGCCAGCGAGCGGTTAGCCTGACGGTGCCGCCGCCGCACACCTGGGTTATTGAATCGCTATGGATATTGTTCAGGATGTGACTAGATCTAGCGTTAAAATTTCCATGTTCCATTAAAATTTCGTTCAAACACATATTGTAAAGATGTGAGCATTAAGAAATGCTTTATGACATGAAGGAGCGTTGCTTTTTTTAAACTATTCAGTAATAAAAAATAATAATTCTTTAGCTACAGTTCAGTACCTATAGTATGCTGTAGGGCAGTCAAAATTAAACATATTTTATTGAATTTTGACCACTAGTGGCACTTATTGACGTCAAAATACAGTAAACAAAGGTAGCCCTTAAGGGGCACTTTACATGTCTCCGTGCGATACCGAATTATTTCTGTTAAACTACAACGTGCTCCTTTTGTTCTCCGGAAATTTTACGGGTATATTCTGTAAATAAAAACTAGTTAAAGAGTCTTAGGAATACATAATTATGTGTTTTTAAAAGCATATTTTTGAAGATTTTGTGGATTCTAGATTTAGAAAATACCTAGTTGATTTAGAATTTTAGATTATAGAATCATCAATCTAGTTTTTTTTTTTTTTCAAAATTGTCACCTAGTCTTTTTGTGCAGACTTTATATTGATAAGTGTATGTAAATTATGAATTATTTCAGTGAAAAATAAAGTTTTTTTAAAAAACTTTATAATTATTTATAATTTCGTATGAAAAAAGAAGTCTAAAAAAATTGTTGAATTTAACAAAAAATATAATGCCATTCCATTCTTTGAAGTGATCTTATTAATACCCTAGAGTTCCAGGAAATCAAAAAGAGCACGTTTTATATCGCCTGGATTCCATAAACACAATGTAATTTCAAAATGGAAGGATAAAATACAAAATCTATTAGATAATTAATCACTGCAGTAAATGTGTTCCAAATCATTGACAAATGGCTACCATCGGCTAGTGGTTAACCAGTGTTGGTGCGGTCTGCCCGAAGCTCTAGTTGTTATTGAATCAGTATCAATAATTACTTAGCGTGTGTGTGCATCGGACTCGTACAGTTCGTGATTGGAATTAATTGCATCGAATGTATCAAGAGCTTCGTTGGTCCAATGCAGAAGGGACAGCGTATCAGTTTGATGATGAAATAGTACAGTAGTGATTTACTAACTGGCAGACATTAGTCCATCCATTAAAAACATAAGTATATTACTCTCTGAAATTAGGATCTACTACTTTTAAAACTACATATGAATTTAATGTAGAGACGAAAGTTCATCAATAAGTAAATTAAATACATAGTAGGTAGTCTACGAGTATAATATTAAAATGAATCGCAAAATGTGCTGGTAAGCGCATAAGGCCTGGACCAATTTTACCAATTCTTTTTTTTTTTAAATGTTTGTTGTAGTCCAACGATGGTTTTAAAGGCGAGAAAAAAATTGAATAATTTCCGGGAAAACCCCGAGCAAAGCCGCGGGCGGAAAGATAGTTTCAAATGTATACTCTAGCAATAGCAAAAAAGCAATTCCGGACTCCAGTGATTTAACTCTAGGATAAATTTTCCCAGACTTCCAAATAGACCAGAATCCAGTCTCCATGAATTGGACGGGGAGCGTCATCACATCGCGCAGTTCAATTATTGTTGCATTGTTATGTCTAAACAATATACCTAGCTATTGATTGATTGATTGACATTGTCTACTAACTAAACTGTATTGTGGATACCATGTTCTTAGTTCAATACAAACACGAACTTTACGATATTGATTGATTGATTGACATTGTCTACTAACTAAACTGTATTGTGGATACCTACCATGTTCTTAGTCTCATACAAACACGAACTTTACGAGCGTGAGAGAGAGAAAACCTGAAAATACGAAAGCACCAGCAGATATCCAGGCTAAAGTGGTAATAGAATCATCATCATCATCACCTCAGCCATAGGTCGTCCACTGCTGAAAATAGGCCTCCCCCAATGCTTTCCATGTTGCCCGGTCGGTAGCAGCCTGCGTATAGAAACACTTAATATTGACTTTTGTGAGTTCCGCTTTAGAACTTGGACCATTTTAGTACGTGAGTAAGACCGGCAATAAAACTTGGTACAATCCTCTGCAGAATAACACTAAATCGCGGGAGTACCACAGTTGGGTGCTGCTGTACTTTATTAAACAACCTCTTTTTAGCTGTCTATGTTATTGAGAAATTGTCCTCATACATAAATAAGGCAATTATTTTTCTACGTGACCCTTTTTTTAGTAGGGTTTAATTTTCTGAACATTCATCATCATCATCATTTCAGCCATAGGACGTCCACTGCTGAACATAAGCCTCCCACAATGAATTCCACATCGCACGGTTGGTAGCGGCCTGCATTAAGCGCCTTCCTGCTATCTTTATCAGGCCGTCGGTCCACCTTGTGGGTGGACGTCTCACGCTGCGTTTTCCGGTAGGTACGTGGCCTCCACTCCAGAACCTTGCTGCCCCATCGGCCGTCAGTTCTGCGTA